ATTCAAATAAAGGTTCTGGTGTCTACATTGCATATTTTGTTGTGATGTTTTGTTGTACCATCATAAATGGTACATTTTGTGGAGCAGACTGCCTAATTTGATGTCATGAAATTACACACAAAATTAGAGCTCAAGTTGCACCAGCAAGTACCATTTTCAGCATGCTGGTCTTGTTTTCGGCGGACGACAGAGGGGACAGCTTCCTCTCCTTCTCTCTTCCCCGTTGTGCTCGGTCGCGGGAAAATGCTCTGCAGTTTCCAGACAAAGTTTACTAATACTTTTTTTTCTTGATTAGTAAATTTACTATTACCTAGCAAATTCCAGAGAGAGCCCAGAAATCTGATGCTGCAAATCATTTTCTGTAATTTCACAGATCAAGGATTTTGTTATGAATGAAAATTTGCGCCTTTCAGCAAATTTGACAGCATTAGCACATTAGGCATAATGCATTACAATGGAATGATAAATTTTGCTTTATCACCAGAATATAATACAAAGTTAGTACATACTGTAATAGTGTAAGCTGTGACTGTAAACTTGATGCTTGTTTTCTTGCATTGTTAGACCGTTCATTGAGAGCAGCAATCTGTTTATCATGTTCTTCAGTTATCTGTTGTATCCTAGCAATAAATGAATGGTCATCAGCAGCAATTCAAAGATGTACAGTATTCAGATGCTAGCATTTATATGCAACAAAATATGTTAAAGTTAACAAATTCATCCACCCAAACCCTAACAACAACTCTGCTCCCATGCCAAACCAGATGACTAAAACACATCTGTCTGAGATCAAATAATTATTTTGATGATGTCCCAATTTGTTCAAATGCATGTATGTTATCTGGGTATTTTGATAGAACCCCGGCTTTTCACAAACACTGGCTAACAATGCAATCACCACATCATCTCCTTTTTAATCATAGTTGGTAATGTTTTACAAAGAAGAAATGAAATGGCTAAATTGTCCTTACTTCTTGTGGTTGTCTTCAGCCATACTCTTCAACCTCCTGTCACTAGTTGATCTACTCTCTTCCAAGTCAGCCTCACTCTGTTGTAACTTGAACTGTGCTACTTTGAGTTCATTTTCATACTCCTGCAGACACCTTTGGAGAAGGTGTACCAGTACTGCAGGACTCTGTTCAACTATATTGTCAGTTGTCATGGAAACACTCCTTCCTTTCTTCTCCTCATCCGCTACAAGCAGTCCTCTAATCTGACTAAGAGCTGAGTTAGATGCCAGCATATTTTGTTGCATAATTTCCATTCTAGAGTTCATATCTATCAATGCCTGCAAAATATCACATGGTGTGAAATTAATATTATTCTTATTCATCTATTACAGTGATCATAGCTTGATTTCTGTCTATGATTTTATTATCAGGACACAAAAAGGTATGTCTATACACACTGAAAAATTCACCCTCTCCAATATTTGTTAGAAAACATGGTAAAACAATAGTGGCTAAGATAATCAGGCATCGAGTACAGTGTATGCTGTGTTAGAGAGACACCTGTATCTTGGTGACACAAACTCACTACCATACCTCTTCTTGTTCCTTGTTTGCTAAATCCAGATTGCCAAGTGTTGACTGTAATTGGTTTATCATCCTTTCTTGACCAATGCATTCTTTCCTCCTGTCAGAAAAAGTAAACAATATGAATGTAGCTATAATCCATCCACAGATATACTGGATTTGGGATCATATTTACACAACATTGTTTGTGTGCATACAGTGACACACTTATATACTTCAGAAAAGAAATCGCCCTCTAACTAGACCAGAGGACATAATTCCCACATTCAACCTGTTGAGTTATTTTGTTTAGTTTATTGTAGAACAAATGAATGCACAACAATTTAAGTGTTAAAAATGCAATATGAATCAAAACATATTGTTAATATTATTGATTGACACTGTATGTTGATGAGTAAACTGCATTAGGAATTATGATAAAATAAAAATGTTACTTTTCCTGCACTGTACATTATTCTTTTGATAAAAAATGAAAAACCCTTTTATGCATGTTTAGTTACTGTTATTGTACGTACCAAAATGTTCAGTGCATATGCGAATTAGAGAATTAAATTGTTTTATCGAATGGATAATCAATTGTGTGCTACAAGAACAGCATTTTAACACCAACAATAATCAAATATGCTTATCAACGTACAGTATCAAACAACAATGACATGATCCCATCCACAATGCATTTGTAATCCCATGGAGGTAATAATTACCTCTATGGTAATCCTTTCATTTGCACACAGCTGTGATGTGGTACAACCTGCAAGTCTGAATTCACTCATTGAGAAGTTAACATACCCTGCGCCACACTGAAACTTGTTTTTGAATTTCAGCTGTGAGAGTTTGAAACTGTGCAACTCTACAGAGACAATACATGTACATACCTTAGATCTAAAACAGAATCCCTGCCTATGATTGTCTCATTCAACTTAGTCTGTAGATTTTCTATGGATAATCTGAAATGTTTTCTTTGTTGATCAGAGATTGCATTGCACTGTAAACAAGCCAATAAATAATATAAATGTATTGCCACCATAACTAGGTGATTTGTAAATAGCCTTAGAATGTGGTAGTATGGTTTGAGTCACATAAATACCAAGGAAAGTACACAATGTTTTACAGGATAAGCAGAGAGATTCTCACGTTTATATTGTAATTCTGGAAATGAAAATGAAACAGAAATTATGTTTTATTTTCTTTAATTGTTTTACAGGAAATTGTTTTAGCATAATTTGTTTCTGACGAGTCTAATGACATCCCATAGTGCATGTGCATGTGACATTTATGTATTAAGTCTGAATGAGATACAGTATGGGAATTCAATTCAATAGGAAATCAACAAAAGTCTACCTCTTTTATTTTCTCCTGCAGCTGAGCAATGGTAGCATACGATTCATGAAGCTTCTGCTCCAACTGAGCTCTGAAAAAATAACAAAATAAAATATAAAAGTGAATCAAACTTCATATGACCCTTTGGACACCAAACATTAAAAAAAAATCAGTACACCAGTATATTTTCATTTGATTTTTTTCAAAAAAATTCGCCACATGGAAAATTATGTCCAGACATCATTTAGCCCAAAATTAACATAGCAATTATGGAAAGTATGTAAGGAGTATAATTATGCCCAAACATATTGAAAAAATTACAATGTACAAAAACATTTTTAGGATGAGGTAAATGGCCAGAAAAATAGTTCGTACCAGTTTTTAGTTTTTACAAGGTTGCATTTTATATAAAATATCTCTTTTATTTGGACCTAGCAGTAAATTTTTTCTGCATCGATGTGTACACTGCATGAAATAAAACAAAAATGTATTATCACTTACTGGTTTGGAACATCAAGTCTGAGACCTTCAATGTCTAACCTGGCTGACATTCCCATGTGAGTTGAACTCAATGATGGTAGAACTGGAAAGTCATCTTGGTTCTTTGGTGAGAATGCTGGCAGTCGTATTTGTGCAATTTCACTTTTCAGTTGAGTGTTTTCTTTATTCTGCATATCTAATTGTTTCCTATATAAAGAGAAAGTTTTTAAAAAATTAATTACATAAACCAAGGACTTCCATGCATAAACAGTGACCATAACATAAAGTACATGAAACAAAACCTCTAGAAATTTGTCATCAAACTAAACAGGCCATTGAGAATTTCACACCCTCTGTCAGCATTTATATGCTCCTTTTTGATCAAGTTTGAACCAAATTTGTCAAAGCATGTCTGAGAAATGACTTCAGATATTTCATATGCAACCATGAAACAATATGGCCACCTGTCAGCCATTTTGAGACGAAAAAAAAAACAGGACATACATCAGACACCCAACATAAAAAACTGTTGCCTGTCAAAAAAGTGCATTTTACTGTTGTTTTTTTTTTTTAAATGGATGCCAGTTGACAATCTTTGATTGAATTATGATACTAATTTCATTGAGGTGCTAAAACACATTTGCCTGTGTACCAATTATAAGCAAAAATAGATGAAAACCCCAGATTTTCATTAAAAACAAAATGGCTGCCAGACGACCATCTTAGATAAGATCGTGACACAGATTAACTTTTCTTGATGAGCTACAATACAATTGTCTGTGCACTAAGTTACAATCTAACCAGGCAGGGAGAATTTAAGATATAAGCAGAATTGAGCATAACAGGCAAAAATTGAAGATTTTGGTCAAACAAAATGTTTTAAGCTATCGGTATAAGGTTATAAGCAAAAATGAACAAAATGGCCACCAGTCGGCCAATAATTAGCAACATCAGACAAAAACCATTATGATTCGGTAGATTTTTGTTCAGTGTAATTTCATCAATTTGTAAACCTACTCCAACTCCTGTAATTTGTTTATACAAGTTCACATTTTATGGCATTATGTCAAAAATAATTATCCTAAATTTTGCAAGTCGGTGATCAACTGATGGAAATGTTGACATTTCTAGTGGTGAATATTTGATGAGTATTCCAGTATTTATATACCTGAGATCAGTGACAGTGCTGTTGTCTTCTCGTAAACTTCTTAGCATATCAAGAGGATTGGTAACTTTTGGTATTACACATTCATCCTCCTGCTATCAAGATATAAAAAGTTTTCATTAAAAAACATTCAAAGTTGATGAATACATAACAATTATATACTGAAGTATGACTTAATATTATTCCAATAATTTTGAGGATTAAACAACATGACTTTATTAGAGTAGATTTAAAACTTGACTTTTAATCAGTACAGAAAAATTACTGAAAATGAACATGGTCAGTAGAAAACAAAAATAATAATGAGGCTATTGTTTTTAAACATACCTGCTGTTGTTTTAATTCTGCTTTGATGGTATCCATCTGTGTTGTAGTTTTGCTGAGTTCTGTTTGAAAACTATCTAGTTTACTAACCTGCAATTATACCAAAATAAAATAAAAGAAGACATTGATAACACATCCTAAAACACTTTTGACCAAAGCAAATGGTGTTTTCTCCTTGTAGCCCGGACACAAACATGATACATGTGTATTAACAATCCATATTTTGTGGATGCATGAGGAAACGAAAATGTATGTATAGTGTGTATCAGATTAAAGTGCTGTCATGTCTATTTATACAATGCAAGGCCTGAATTCAAAATAATCACATTAGAACTGCAACTAAAATGTAATATTTAATTTATGATTTATTAATTAATTATTAATTAATTTTCACATTTGGTCAGTATGGCTGTTTATTTGCTGCTGATTTCCTTCATTGACAAGCTAATACGCGACTAATCAATATCGTAATGCAGCTAATTCTTGTGTCCATTTAGAATTTTTGCATCCTGAATGTTAGTTTGATAATTTAAAAACTTATACATTGTGGATACATAAATTTGTGCTAATACAACCTCTGTTACTAACCTGCTGCTGCATATCTGTCCTAATTAACTCCAAATCATCGTGTATTTTACTAGCGACTCCAGACACACCAAATGCTGAGGGTTGATCACCATTGGCACCTGTATTATAGTTGAATGAGATAACTAGGTATGTGATAATCATAAAATTTGTAGGGGTTTCAAAAATTTTGAAATTGTAGAAATTTGAAAAAATATTTGGATGTAAGTAATGGTTGCTTGCTGATAAAGCAACACCATAAAATACTTTATAACTGTTTAATGTAATGTTTACTCAAATTATATGTCATCTGTTTTGGTACGAAACTTCAGGATGCATCCCACTTATCAGTGTGAGCTTATTGAAAACCACATTCCTTGCTCTGAGAAGTGAGCATACTATGGAACATGTAACATTATTAGGTGTGAAATTCTAGTACTGTAAAACCATTTATTTTCACTGCCATTTAATTTCACTATTTTGGTGCTTTGAGCAATTTTACTGGGTTTTAATTTAAGTTCACAAACTTAGCACGGAAACAATAAGTTATATTGTTATTTTACATATTCACATGGATTTAATTTTAGTAGATTTCACTTATCAACAAAATTAGAGCAATTAAAAACCAGTGAATAATTAATGCATTTACACAGTGGGAAACAAGGTTGATTTATTCAGTTTAAAAGTTGGTGAATATTTTTCATACCTACATCTAGACATTCTTTTTATATTTTATTGTTTTAGGTGCTAAATAGGATGATTGGTGTGGTTGACAAATGCATGATAGCAATTATTTACTTGACCTAACTTGCATGAGTATTTTTTAGATAAAAAACACATGAATGATTATTTTGTAAGAAATAAAATAATAAAATGTTTGTTTCAAGGTAAAATGATTGTTCAGTACTCAAGCATCCATAGTGGATGTTTCCTATTTGAATGTTAATGTGAAACACCACCATGTTATTCAGGTAACTAACAACACAGTGCATACAACTACATATAGACCACAAACTGATACCTAAAAAGTTATGATACTCTCTGTGGTTTGGCAGTGAGCCAATAGCGCTCTAAGGCTACAAGACGACTCACAATATACACCTATAAAATGTCCTTTGTATCTAAATCAAGGTGAACTTAGACCACAAAAAAGATCTGTACTTTGATAATGTATTCTGTATATTGCATCGTAAATGTGTTTGTACAGATCTAGAGTGGGTAGAATCATAGCCAAGCAACATGACAAGGTTTATCACTGAAAAGTAATTTTTATATTCTATAATAGTATTACAGAGCAATGAAATATAATATACAATATATAAATAATGATTTAATTGACATGTTGATATTTGATTAGACTAAGGTAGCTTAATTATATATACTGAGATTCAGAGGGAGGGTCCCTATCTGTCCTTTCCACACTGATATTTAAAACAAGCAGCCTCTCGGCTGAGATAGCTCCGCTGTTAGCAATGCACATTTCAGTTAAAGAACAGAAGATATCATTAGAAAATGAACAATATGCATAGTATCAATGCAATGGGACTTGTTGTTTTCAACAAGAATTCAAAAATAAAATTTTTCACCATAAATGATTGTGGTTTTTAACAAGAAGAAAATATCACTTTTTACCAAAAATGACAAAAATATTCATCAAAACTAGATAATTGAAGATATCATCATGAAATGAACAAATTTTAGAGTGGTCCACATGTAGTACCTATATATGTAATATCAAAGCAATTGGACTTGTCAATTTTAACAAGAAGTCGAAAATATCACTTTTTATCAAAAATGACAAAAATATTCACCAAAATTAGAAAATTAAAGATATCATCATGAAATAAACAAATCTGAGAGAGGTCCACATGTAGCATCTATATATTTAATATCAAAACAATTGGACTTGTGGTTTTTAACAAGAAGTCAAAAATATCACTTTTTACCAAAAATTACAAAAATATTCATCAAAATTAGAGAATTAAAGATATCATTACAAAATGAACAAATCTGAGAGAAGTCCACATGTAGTACCTATATATGTAATATCAAAGCAATTGAACTTGCGGATTTTAACAAGAAGTTGAAAATATCACTTTTTACCAAAAATGACAAAAATATTCACCAAAATTAGAGAATTAAAGATATCATTACAAAATGATCAAATCTGAGAGAGGTTCACATGTAGTACTTATATATGTAATATCAAAGCAATTGGACTTGCGGTTTTTAACAAGAAGTCGAAAATATCACTTTTTACCAAAAATGACAAAAATATTCACCAAAATTAGAGAATTGAAGATATCATCATGAAATGAACAAATCTGAGAGAGGTCTACCCAAGGTACACATACACCAAGTATCAAAGCATTCAGGCTTGTAGTTTTCAAGAAGAAGTCGAAAAAGTAAAACATTGACACGGACGACGACGGACAATCACTCATATGATAAGCTCCGCTCGACAAAGTCGACAGGGAGCTAAAAAAAGTGGTTACCGGTATCTAGAGTAAATCTAGAGTGGTTATTTCCATTTGGGCGGCATCACAACAGAAGTTGCCTGCCTTTACCATATTTACTATCAATCACAGAAATTTGTCTTTCGAGAAGTTAACACGCTTTACAGCATTTCACTCATAAATGTGGTGATTGGTTGATTCACAGCTTGATTCATCCCACAAGTTTATTCATCCCACAATATGATCAGTTCAAAAGACGATCATTCGATTTATTACGTTAACCAGTTTATTGTATCACACTTTGCAATATGTTAATCAGTCAATCATTAAATCAAATTATTCAGATTTTAAGATTTAAATTAAGTAATGTAATGGTAATCATGATAAACGTTGTTTATTTCTGAAATAAATAAGAAATATAGTAAATATTGTTGTAAGGAGGTTTCCAATAGTATTTTATATGCTTTAAGCATTTAAGCATGATTGTCCCCCCCCCCCCCCCCCGTATAAGGACGTCACCTGACAAGAGATCATAAGGCTAACCAAAGGCAAGGGGAAGAATGTGAATTGGGACAAATCAATTTGTGGGACAAATGTGAATTGGGATGAACTGACCATGAATCATAAATGTATCACCTTTCTCTAATGCTAATGTTCTCCAATCACAATTACTATTATCTACAAAATTTCACGATTTTCAGCGATTCGCGAAACTCCAGAAATGTTGTCTTTCGCATAGTTAAAGCAGTTTACAGTATTCCATTCATCAATGTGTCACCATTCTCTAATGTTATGGATTACGGCACCGTCATGAGGGAATTTATGAATTCACCGTCACACTCGTGCAGTAACAAAACATGCAGATACTACGTAAAACAACGCGAAAAATAGAAGCATCGGGTTGTAGAAGGATTGCTACAACTACTTCAAATTTCTGTGAATAGAAAATTTAAAATGATACCCCTCTCTTCATAATAGGTGACCAAACTGTTAACACATTGTTAGCGGACCAAACCGACCTAGTGTAAACGATACCGTTCAAGTCACGACATGCCCTCCGAATGTTAACTTCACGCTTTTTTTAGCGTCAATATGCATGTCATGAAGTAAATGTAGACAGCCTACTAACTAGAGTGATAGATCAGTAAATGTGCAAAACATTGTCAATATTATTATTAAATAAACTTGTAACCGCGAGTCATAGCGGAGAAAAACAACATCGCTGTACATGTACATGTATGGTCTTACCGGCACCGTCACTTTTTTGAATATCACCGCTTAAATCTGGCAAACTGCTGCTAGATCGCAATTTTTCTGCATTTTGCTCCAACTTTCTAATTTGCTCAGCATAATCGTTACTTGTCGGTCTCGTTTTCCCTCGCGATGGCGGCCTTGAAGATCCCTCGGCACCGGAAGGTACACTTTCCGTCAGCCCAGCTGGTGAAGCAGTCGCCATTTTGAGCGACCTGGGGTCATCTGTCGATTTGAAGGCGTCCTTGTTTACACGCAAATGTCAGCGAATAATGTGCACCTGAATATGCGAGTGTGATGAGCGATGTTTTAAAATCCGATATAAAACATGGGATCACGAATAGATGTCCAAACACGCCTACTTTCTGAAAAAAACTAGCATTGTTGACAAACGAACATTCACTACAAGCAAGTATGTGCGCATGCGTTTGTTTTTAAAATTCATTTCTTTTTAGTGACAGTGGGGGCGCATAAGCAAAACTTCGATGCTGATTTCAGTCGAACACTAATGAATAGCGGGCTCCAAGTTTGTTGGCGGAGAGGAAGGATGGTTGCGCTTAGATGCAGTATATTTCTAACTATACTTGCCGAAACTAAGTCAATATGACATTTTGTCATGTCTCATTGTTTTGTTTTTGTTATCGTCACATTTTGATATCTAATTTACGAGTCCACCAGTCGATCAACGT